TTTCTTTTGGAAAATAAGGGTTCTGCTTAGTGTTGGCAGATTGCCTGGCCCTTTTCATCTTGTTTGAACTTCACAGTCTGTTGGTTCAAGTAGATATTTATTGTGTACAGGTGATCTCCCCAAAAACAATAGCCAGAACTGGTGTGACAGACTCACACAAAAGATCGAAAGATGGTAGATTTAGTGCTGGAAAGTTATCTAGTCCAACCGTCTTCATTTTACAGATGAGGAAAACAGGTACAGGAAAGTTACATGACCTGCTCAAAATCACACAAGTAGTAACTGAGAGAACTAGGATTTGAACCTAGGTCCTCTTCTTTCCACTATACCACCCAATAGAATCCCAGAGTTGAAAGGAACTTCATCAATTGAGTTCAACTCCTATCTGAACATGATTCTCCTACAACATTTCAAGTAATCCAGGCTGCTAGATTATCTCCAGGATAGATAGGAAGAGGCAGGCTTTAGGCTTGTTGCTAGTTAAATTCAACAAAGGTAGACTGTGACATGTTTTCTGAGCAAGATAACATTTTATTAATGGGCACTGCCTGCTAATAGAATGAGTGGGCATATCCCTTTTAATGGTTTTTGGGGAGTAATTAACAAAGAATAGGACTTCAAAGGTGGGGAAAAATACAGTTGGTTATAGAGTTGGTACCATTGTGATGGTTGAGGACAACATGATTGGTTACAGAGTTGAGGTGTGGGGAACAATGTGATTGGTTGGAAGTTGGGACTGATGGCCTAGCAACAACCCTTCTGTGGCTAAGAAATGTTCATTATTTGAGTCCACTTGCAAGGTAAGAGATAATGAACCAGACTTCTTCAGATAGTAAACCAGACATCCATAAATCTGACAGATAAACTATTCCATGCTCTCTTAATTTGCTTATGGTATCACCCTTTATGTGTAAATCATGTACTCATTTTCACCTTATTCTGGTATACAGTGTGGGATATTGGTCTATACCTTGTTTCTGCCATACTGTTTTCTACTTTTCCCAGCATTTTTTGTCAGATCATGAGTTTTTGTTCCAAAAGCTTACATCTTTGGGCTTATCATTTACTAGATTACTATGGTTATTTAATATAATGTAATTTGTACCTAATCTATTCCACTAATCCATCACTCTATTTCTCGGCCAGTATCAGATTGTTTTGATAATTACTGGTTTATAATGGTTTGAGATCTGGTTCAGCTAGACCACCTTCTTTCACATCATTGATTCCCTTGATATCCTTGAGATTTTGTTCTTCCAGATGAATGTTATTTTTTCTAGCTCTATAAGATAATTTTTTGATAGTTTAATCAGTATGGCACTGAATAAATTACTTTAGGTAGAATTGTCATTTGTATTATTTACTAAGTCTACCCATGAACAGTTAATATTTTTCCAGTTGTTTAGATCTGACCTTATTTGTGTGAAAAGTGTTTTATATTTGTATTCATATAGTTCTTGAGTTTGTCTTGGCAGATAGACTCCCAAGTATTTTATATTGTCTGCAGTCAGACCATAGCTATTTAAAATGTAAGCTGCAACATATTTTTTTTCTTCACTTTGAAACTTCACTGATATCACTTTAAATCAGTTTCTTTCTAATCAGCAAAATGACCTTCCTCTCTTGGCTGCAAAGCAATAAATCTGTCTATAGCATTGACAGGTTCTTAACTTCCTTAAAACAAATTCCAAAGAATATTAACTCAAGACCCACTCAGATATTTTAGCATTTATAAGAACATTCAAACTACAATTTAGAGATTCACAGTAGAGAGCATAAAATTTAGTCACAAACCAATTGTGTCCAAATCTATAAGCTGTAACCTTTTAATACAAATAGGACATATAACAAACACAAAACAGAACACACAAAATTATTCCCAACAGGGTACTTACCACATTCTCTTCCCTGGAGATCTGACTGGTTAGTGTTCAGGTGAAGAGCAACAGATTCCCTAATAGAAAACTCTCCCTTTGTGGAAAAAAAAATTCACTGGGGCCCAGAAGAGGGGAACGATTCTCCCTGATCCCACCCCTGCCATAAACTGTTGTGAGCGAAATTCAGCAGTAGTAGAGGCACATTTTTTATTAACAGGGTTTCTGCCTACCAATAGAATGGGAAAATGTTTTGCCTTATTTAGCCAAAAGACTGAGCATAAGGACAGTTTCCCTTTTAGAGTTTTTAGGGAGTAAAGGAAAAGAATAGGACTTTGAAGATGTGGAAAGAATACAATTGGTTACAGAGTTGTAAGCATCATGGGGGTGAGGAAAACATGATTGGTTGCAGAGTTGAGGTGTGGGAAACAATATGATTGGTTGGAAGTTGAGAATGAGGGCCTAGCAACAACCCCCTCCTTCCCTCCTGGGACTAAGAAATGTTCATTATCTGAATCCATCTGCAAGGTCAGAGATAATGAACCAGACTTCTTTGGATAGCAAACCAGACATCCTTGAAGAATAGTTTGGTGGTATAAAAATACTAGACTAGACTCCCTGGTGTCCTCATGTATTCCTCAAGGATAGCACATTTCCATGAGGCAAGAAGAGAACACTATTTAGCAGGAGAACAAATGTCTGCACTAAGTTCACAGACCATTTCTTAGGTGGATTACAGGACAAAATCAATGAATTATAGATAGGATCAATAAAAAAAAAATGATGTGCAATCAATTTAACCCTCTCAGGCCTCAGTTAATTTCAATAGGGAAGGTAGAGTATCACCCTGGGGCAAGTGACTGGATTTTGCTTTAGTCCTGGCTTTGTGGAACTTAAGCTCCTTTAGGGGCTTATGCTATGTCTGGATTCTTATGTTCAATGATCTGCATCTGGAAATAGGCAGGATTTCTTAGGATCATAGGATTTGGAACTAAGCAGGACCTGAAAGATCATCCCTGCTTTACCTACCTTGTCAAGTGGCTGGGAGTATCAAGTAAGGTATATGAAAGTTCTTTTTCATGTTCTTGAACCATGTGCAATTCTAAGGTTTTTATTTATTATCCTTGTTAGGGTAGGAAAGGACCTTAAGAAGCAACTTAGCCCATCAGTACAAGGCAGCATTCAAACCATTCCCAGGAACACAACCACTTGTCCTGCACTTTACAAATATTCAGTTCTTTCCTTCCCCACCCCTAATCCACACCCCTGCTCTTTCTGTTCAGATTATCCACCTGAGGATAGAAGAAGTTGAGGGGAGGGTCAAGGGGAGACTCTTATTTGTGAAGACCTAGAGGACTTTGTGCCTGTGTAATAAATTCTAACTTTTCCTATAGCTTTTGAAAAATTGCACTGACTCTAGCAATGAGTGTGGCTGCTACTACAGACCTCTAATCTGGGCATAACTGTTTCAGAATGCTTCTTAATTCTGTGCATTCTGACAAGTGGAGGATTATCAGTATGTTCCTGCAGGCTAGCTATGTAGTGTTTTACACAAACCCCAGTTCCTTGCCATTGTACTGTTGTGATAAAACTGACTAGGATTGAAGTCATGGTAATCTTGGGGCAATATATACCTTTGTCTCATTTAAGAACAGCTTCCTAGGAAGTCAGAAATTGGTATGCACCTGCTTTTTTCCATTAACAGTTATGTAGCAAATGGATCCTATGGCAAGATTGTGGGATTTGCGCAGAAAATGTTGGTTCCCTGCTGTAGATCAAGAGAGATGTAGGTATCGTATCCTTATGCGTGTGGGAGGTATTGTCCCCTTTCCCATTCATAGCATACCTTTTCATTTTGGTTTCCAGAGACACAGGTAAGAATAAAGTTAAACTGTTCAAAATAGACAGGGCCCACCAGTCTCGGTAGGTATTTAGTTAGGTGATGATTTGGAGGTGTACTTGATTTCAGTAGTGTGTGTACTGATAATGTGGCCAACCTTTAAAAGTAGCTTTTATTTCTGAAAGTTCTCTGATCCAAATAGTTATGTTTCTACTCCACAATAGTCATTTGATAGGATATAAAGTGAGTTTTATGAAGGATGATTGTGTAATTAGAGCCCATTTAAAAGACATGCTTTTTTTTTTAGTTAAATCACATTAGGAGCCATAATTTTTGGAAAAACTTAATTTAAGCACAGCTAGGTTTTGTTGTTTCAGAGAAATTAATGCACCGTATGCAAATGGATTGGTGTTTTTTGGTTCATAGTAATGGATACCTTGGGGCACAAAGCCTCTGAGAATTCCAGCTGAGGCGAGAGCTACAGGTATATACTACATCCAGGCACTGACCAACACTGACTGTTGGAGCAGTGTCTGGAAATTACTGTAAGACCAAAGTCAGAGGGAAGACATTAGCGCCCTGAAGCATCAAAGGAGTTTCCCCTCCTTGCACATGCCTTGGCTACATCAGTCCCTCTCCTCATAAGCATCCTGGCCACACATGATCTTTACATATCTTTCCCACTATTTGTGACCTTTATGTGTGTTTATCTCTCCCTAATAATGTTCAGTGTATTTGTGGGATGTGCCCCAGGTTTATGGGGGAGATATTTTGTTATTACTTTCTTACTATGTTATTTAAATGCCATTACTTCGAGCTAATTGCAGCCTTTGACTGTTAAAGGTAAACACATTAGTGGGAGCTCATGGACTATAGTTTTAGTAATGCACACCCACATAGTACCATGAACCCAGGGTAATTCTCCAGGACACCTGACTGGTAAATGCAGGTTGGGGGTGGTGATGGAGGTATCCCTGGAGTGCTACATTGTAGGGTGACTCAAGTTGACTGTCTCAAAATGGAACTACCTTCTTTTTAAAGACTCCATAGACAGAGCTGACATTAAGTCAGCCAATCTCTGGAAGGGTCCTGTTTCCTGTCAGTTACATTTATCCAGAGGCCACAGCCCTAACATGTAATCAGTTTGTTTAGTAAACTTCTGGTTTGATCAAGAATTACCCTGATTTACTTCCTTTAAAAACATACTTTTAAAAAAAGTTAATCTTAGAGTTTTATAAGTAAATCTGATTACTATTAAGATTATAAAATTATGTTTTGTTTTATAGGTCCTTGCAACTATGGAACAACTGGAGAGTGTGAGGAGTTTTCAGGAGTTTGTGCAAATATTCAGTCAGTTTGGAAATGAAATGGTAGAGTTTGCACACCTAACTGGAGACAGACAAAATGTACGTATTTTCTAGGTCTTAGAAATTTATAGTAATAAAGCAAAATTTACAGTAAAAAAGCAAAATTTACTTTCATTTTCACGTGAATTTATGTTCTTTTCTAAGTGAATTATGTACCCAAACTTTATTGAAAGCCTTTATTTATATATGTCTTTGAGAAATGAGTCGGGATAAGGCAAATAAATAGCTGTGCTTTGTTTTTCCCATGGGAATGTGTAACAATTATGTGTATTATGTGTGTGTGTGTGTACATATATATATGTACACACACACACACACACACAAACTTTTTTAGTAAATAGTTGTTATGTACCCAGGCCAGTCCACAAAAGCCTGAAGAATGTTATCTAAAATAACATACATTTTAAATTTGTTCATTCATCTAGTATTTATTCAATAGAGGATTCATGTTTCAGGCAGAGATTGGATTAGACACGAGATTTGATCAATCAAACTCTAAGATTTGATGATTCTTTGAGTGCTTTTTATTATCATTTATAATAATAGCTAGCATTTATATAATGCTTATCTTATTTAATCTTCACAATAACTCTGGGAGGTAGATGTTATTATTATCCTCATTTTATAGATGAGAAAACTGAATCTGATAGAGGTGAAGTGACTGCCCAATTTTATGTTGTCATACAACTAGTGTTTGAGCCCTTAGGTCTTTTAGACTCCAGATCTGCTGGGCCACCTAGCTGCCTAGCATATAGTTTAGTTTTCAGTGAAAAGATTAATAATTAGACAGGAAAACAGCAAAAATCGAATGAGAAACAATTTTTATTGATGTTGACTATTCATACCAGAGGAACAGCAGGTGAGGGACTAGAGGTGCAAAATAAGGTATGTGTTTTCAGTGGTCACTATATTGAATTGTTTTACTTCGTATCCTTATTTGTTATGGAAGCAGGAAGTTAGAGGGTACTGATGGAGATTCAAAAAAATAGAAAGAAAAGGGCATCAGTGAAACATTATGAAAATACACATGAGAAAAGAAGGTTCAAAAAGACACAAACAGGAAAATTTTGTCACTATCATGTTAAATTTATTTTTTTTAAGATTCATTTTTTAAATAAAATTTTGAGTTCTAAATTTTCTCTCTCCCTCCTGCCTAAGCTGGTAAGCAATTTGGCATAGGTTGTATATGTGCAGTCATGTGAAACATATTTCCATATTAGTCATATCATGTTAAATTTAATAACTTGTTAAAAAAATCATATGGAACAGAAACTTTCATAGTTTGATATACAGTCCTCTTTTTTTGTTCTTCGCTGAAATGTTCCTACATATTGATTGTCAACATCACAAATAAAAAAGAGAATTTAAATTTAAAAAAAGATTATATATAGTTCAGTGGACATTCAGAAGGGGATTTCTGAGTCCTATTCAAAGAAATTCCCTATACCTATCAATCAGTACCATCAACTCAGGGAAATTAGGGGATGAGTAGGAGGGTAAAGAGAAAGAGAAGATGGGCAAAGCAGTATGCATCTGGATGCCCATGAGTTGGATTTTTCTAACCCAGGGAGTGCCTTCATAATTAAATCCACAATCTGTGAAGAAGGAACAGCTGGATGGCAGTGGAGAGAGTGCCAGGACTGGAGTCAGGAAGACTCACCTTCCTGAGTTCAAATCTGCCTTCAAACACTTATTAGCTGTGTGACCTGGGTCAAGTCACATAACCCTATTCTCAGACTCCTCAATCTGTAAAATGAGCTGAAGAAGGAAATGGCAAACCACTTTAGTATCTTTGCCCAGAAAATCCCAAATGGGGTCATGAAGAGTCAGACACGTCCAAAACAACTGTTCCCTCAGACCCGGAATGTTGTCCCTTTTTACCTCAGCTTCTTCGAATTCCTGGCTTCCTTCGTACTCAACTACTGCCACCTTTTATAGAAAAAACTTTTCTCAGTCTACCCCACCACACCCCCAGCTGCTAATGCTTTCCCCTTTAAGTTTACCTTGTAGCTATTATATGTATCTTGTGTGTGTACATATATATGTACCTATTATCTCCCTAATTATCTCCTTGAGAGCAGAGAATTTCTGCTATTTCTTTGCATTCTTGGTGTTTTAACAGAGTATCTGTCATATACTAAGTGTTTAGTAAATGCTTATTGATGGGATTGATTCATTTTGAACTGGTTGACTGACTGGGCCCAAATAAAAGTTGATAATGTTGCAATATCAACTTGGAGGGAGTGACCAGGAATAGCCTTGGACCTTGGGTTCTTCAGTATTTTTACCAGGATTTGGTTGAAAGTGTAGATGGCATGGTTGCCAAATTTGTACATGATATGGAACTTTGAGGAATAGGTACCACATTGGATGATTGATAGGAGGTACAAGCTAGAACTATGAGCCAATTTGAATAAGGTGAGAGATGGGCTTTGAGTTTTAGACTGGACCTGTGATTTCATTGGTATAAGAGATTCCCCATGAGGACACTCCCTGTACCACAGCAGATCAGCTCCTTCTTCACAACTCAGAGCCTGAGAGAATTGCCTTGGCCAACATCAAACAGCTGGTTTTTGTCTCAAGCAAGATTTGAACCCAGTTATTCACTGTGTCATGTTACCTCTATGGGTGAAAGTTAAGGTCAGAAATACCACTACTTGGTCTGTATCCCAGAGAGATCAAAGAAAAAGGAAAAGACACATATGCACAAAAATATTTATAGCAGTTCTTTTTATGGTGTCAAAGGATCAGAAATTGAGGATGTGCCCATCAATTGGAGAATGTCTGAACAAGTTGTAGTATATGATTGTGATAGAATACCATTGTGCTATAAGAAATGGTAAGCAAGCTTTTTTTCAGAAAGACCTGCAAAGGCTCATATGAACCAATGCGAAGTGAAATGAACAGAATTGGGAGAACATTGTACACAGTCACAACAATATTGAACAATGATCAACTCTGAATGACTTAGCTATTCTCAGCAGTACAATGATTCAAGATAATTCTAAAGAATTTATGATGAAAAATGCCATCCACCTCCAGAGAAAGAATGATACAGTCTAAATGAAGATCAGAGCATACTTTTAAAAATTTATCGTTTCTTGGGATTTTTTTGTCTGTGTTTTCTTTTGTAACGTGGCTAATATGGAAATTGTTTTGTGTGACTGCACATGTTTAATCTATATAAAATAGCTTTCCCAAGGAATGGGGAGGGAAGGGAGGGAGAGAATTTGGAACTTAAAATTTTAAAAAATGAATGTTAATAGTTTTTACATGTAATTAAGAAAAAAAGATAGAAAGTTAAGGCCAGGGAGAGAGAAGGTACTTGTAGTATAGGGAGGAGGAAACTTTCTACTCATTCAGGGCATTAGTTTCTGTGCACCATAGAGTCATAGAGTATTACCTGGGGTACAAAGGTTTAGTTACTTGCCCAGGGTTCAAATACCCAGCATTTGTCAGAGGTTGGACATGAACCCACATCTTCCTAGTTCCAAAGATAGTTAACTATCCACTACACCAGGATGCAAAACTGCTAATTAGACATTTTACATTTTACCCCATTTCTGTCCTGTCTCCTTCAAAATCAATGAGTTCTAGCAATCCAGGCTAAGGGTTTAGGGTCTTCTTGTTAGTAACTATCATTTCTGATACATAAATGGAATAAATATAAAGAAATTCATAGGAAAAATGTAAAGTTTTATATTTGAATGTAAAAAAACCAACTTCACAAATAAAGAATGGGCAAGTATGGCTAGGTGACAGTTTTGTGAAAAAGATCAGAAGGTTTCAGTGGACTGAAAATTCAATATGAGTCAACAGTGTTGCCTTTTGTTTATATGCCACAATTATTTCCCCTTAAAGCATTTCTCCCCACTAAACCTTCCCTTATAAAATAACAAAAATATTTAAGCAAATCCATCTGAAGTTACTGTTTCTGGCAGTTTTTACTAGGGTTGTCATTCCTTAGGCTGACCTTTCTCCTTAAAGGAGGAAGGTATGTGTCCTTATGAGTTTTCCAGGACTGAGATTATTCACCATAATTCATCCTAGTTTGAGTTCTTTAAGTAGTGTTGTAATTAAATGGCTCCCTGAAGGCTGGCCTGATAGTATTTTAACGTTTTTTCTATTTGGGAAATGCATTCCAGATTTCAGTCAGCTAACTTAAAAATAAGGCTTTGGGAATACAACCTTGTGATAATTTTCAAAAATTTGTATTTCTGTGTTTAATATGATTATACATGCATAGCCTATATCAATCAGATTGCTTGCTGTCTTGGGGAATGGGCAGGAGGGAAGGAGAAAAAAATTTGGAACTCAAAATCTTATAAAAGTGAGTGTTGAAAACTATCTTTACATGTATTTGGAAAAAATAAAATACTATTAAGTAGAAAAAAATAAAACAACTTTATATTTCCTTTAATGATGACATCTCTAAGTCCTTTTTCATTAGTGAAGAAGTTTTTCAGGTGTTAAATTTATTTCTGTTGTCATTCAAAAATGTTAGTAATTTCATTTTCATTCCATTTTAGGATTTGAAAGATGAAAAGAAAAAGGCAGAAATGGCAGCAGCTCGGGCAGTTCTTGAGAAGTGTACTATGATGCTTCTCACAGCTTCAAAAGTAAGATGAAAATTAGTGCTTTTAATGTTTCAGTATTGAGAACATAAAACACTGGTAGTTTACATCATTTTTTAACATCTTTTTAAAAAACTTTAAATTTTAAAATTTATTCCAAGAAATCTAAGACATGAAAAATGTAGGAAAGTTCTCATTCTACAGAACAATCCTTTGGGTTATACTGTGCAATTATAATTAGCCCCATTTTACAGATAAGGAAACTGGTAACTCATATTGTAAGTATCTGTGGGTGGATTTGAATACAAAACTCCTAACTCCAAGCCCTAGCTACTATACATGCTTATTCCTTACATACATATCTATTGGGCACCTGTTATGTACTGAATAAATGAGCTACTTACGTTGATGCTCTAATATTATTAATCCTTTAATTCCTCATATCACTACAGAGAGATTCATCAGTTACAGATTCATATATTCTTCTGCGTATTATATAAGCATTCACCTAAAAGAAGTTCACATTTTTTTAAAGACATGTCTTAGGCATCCTAATTGTGAATCAGCTCGTAAAAACAAAGGGGGAGTATTTCACCGAATGAAACTGGCTTTGGAACAAGTAATTGAAATTGTAACAGACTGTAGACCAAATGGAGAGAATGAAGTATCATCTATCAGTGTATATGCTGGCATAAAAGAACTTAAGGTAAGAATAAGAAATAAATAATTTTTTTCCATTCCCATTTTCTCTTACTAATGTCTATGGGTTTATGTTTTAGGACAGAAGCTTTACAAAGATAGGTAATGTCTGTGTTTTTAATTGACTACATTTTCACCTCTGGGTTCTCAGTAACATTTGGATTTCTCTCTTTGACCAAAAAGTTGTCCTCTTTCTATTTCTCTAATGCAGTGCATATGTAGGTATGTATATGGCTGCTGTTAGAGAAGAAGTAATTTTCTGCTTGAAGCCATTATTCCCATTATGTAACAATAGTTAGAACTTTTAGAATTTAGAACGTAGGCAAAGCAGTTCATTAATTGTTATGAGATAGTGAGCATGATCCATGGAACCCCCAACAGAGTGCCAGCTCCAGCTCTAGGACACTGTTGTATACTTTGAGGCTGTTGGTTTAAAAACTTGAAGATGACACAGTCCAGCTAGTGGTGATTAGGACATACTAAATTTAGACTTTTTTTAAAAAATTGGTTTATTATAGAAGATTGATTCATACTCAAGCTCTGTGCATTTATTTCCATAAATTTGTGATCTCAGTCATGTGAAAGCTACTCCTCCAGTGCAGATCAAATACAGGGCAGGTAACTTTTGTCCTTCAAAAGTTCTTGGTTTTGCATGAATACCATTGAAGCATGAAACCTATCTTTTGGTTATCTTTCTTTCATGATAAGTACATGATAAGCACACCTTCTTTTCTGTTCATATATCTTTCTGAAACCATCTTTTATGCTACTACTATTGCACAATTCTTTAGTATAAAAGATGTTATGGCCTCATTATGCACACATTGCAGGGTTTTCTACGTGAGATACATAATCACTCAAGAGTTTAATTATTGATGTGGGAAAAGCCAAGTAGATGATGAATTTCTCATATCTATACCAGTGGTCCTCAAACTTTTACATAGTGGTAGAACCCTTAAGTTTATTTCTTAAATTATAATGTATTTTATTTTTCTCAATCAGCAAAAATTTACCTTTTCTCTCTCCCCCACACTGGGAACTAAAGAAAAATGAAAGCCTCTGTTATAAATACATATAGTCAAGCAAAACATATTTCTGCACTGGCTATCTCGAAAATGCACACACATACACACACATATATGTGACACATTCTTTGTTCTGAGTCCTTTACCTCTACCAGGAGGTACATAGCATGATTCATTATTAGTACTATGAAATCATGGTTGGTCATTATCCTGATCAGAGTTATTTATTCTGTCAAAGTTATTTGTCTTCACTATATTATTGTCATTGTATAAATTATTCTTCTGGTTTTGTTAACTTCACTCTGTATTAGTTCATACCAGTATTCCCAGGTTTCTTTGAAACCACCCCCTTCATTAGTTCTTACAGCACCATGGTATTCTATCACATTCATATATCATACTTTGTTTAGCCATTCCCCAATTTATGGGCACTCCCTCAGATTCCCATTCTTTGCCACCTCAAAAAGAGCTAACAATATTTTTGTAAATCCTTAGTTAGAATTGCTTAAGAAAGACTAGTCTAGATTATAATATGCAATTGAATAGACAATCCATAGAATTGATCAGTACATACATTTTAGCCATTATAGATGAAACAGTGAGCTTGTCCTAGAATTAAACAGGAGGAAGAAAGACCTGGTTGTGCTGGGAGGTTTCATGGTACTTTTAATGATCCTAATCTTTTCCCTGAAACAATGGCCCATTTTACACCACCTTCATTTCTGAATGTTCTTTCTTTCCACCATTTTACCCCCATACAGTGCCATCCATCCTTTGTAGTAATGAAAAAAAGGGGTGGTGGTGTAAAAAGCACTAACGAGAATATTCTTTCTGACAGTGAACACAGTATTCCACACCCATACCCTTCCGCTCACCCCAACTCAACAAAGACAGGAAGGAATACATTTTTTATCTTTTCTACAGATCCAGTCATTCTAATTTGTAGCACTCAGTTTCTTTTTTTTTCTTTCCATTTACTTTAGTGTAGTCAGATCTATCTTTTTAAATAACAGTATTCTTTCAATAATGTTATGTACCTGAGAGTCATTATCTACCACAGTTTCCAAAGAATTAAAGTTGATGGATCACCCAAGAGCATTGGAAAGGCCCTGACATAATGCTTAATAAATGTTTATTCATTGGATGAGTGGATACCAGTTTATTCATTTAATGAAAAATAGGTAGAACAAGATAACTGGAACTGGTTGTCTCATGGCACACCCTTCTTGCTAAGTGGGTCTATTAAGGAAATCAAATTAGTTATCAAAAAAATAGAAGTGTTCAAAGTAAAGAAATAGATTGGAAAAATGAGCAAACAACAAAGAACCTGACCACAAAAAGCTACTATGGTCGCAGGGAAAATTAAGACACAAACCCAGAAGAAGACAATAATGTGAAAACAGCTACAACCAAAGTCTCAAAGAAAAATGCAAATTGAACCCAAACCCAATAAGAATTCCTGAAAGCATTAAAGAAAGAAATAGGAGTGGTAGAGGAAAATATGGGAAAAGAAATGACAAGAATGGAAGAAAATTATGAAAAGATAATTAACAGCTTGGTAAAAAAAGCACAAAGATATTAAAGAAAATGTCACCTTAAAAAACAGAATTGGCCAAATGGTAAAAGAGGCACAAAAATTCACTGAAGAAAAGAACTTCTTAAAAAGCAGAATTAGCTAAATGAAAAAAACAAGGTTATAAAATCTTGCCAAAGAAAAAATTCCTTAAAAATTAGAATGGGGCAAGTGGAAGCTAATGACTCCAAGAGATGTTCAAGAAACAATCAAACAAAATCAAAAGATGAAAAAATGGAAGAAAATGTGAATTATCTCATCAGAAAAACAACTGATCTGAAAAATAGATGGAGGAAAGGCATTTCAAGAATTATTGGGAAAAAAAAAGAGAGAATTATTAGACTACCTGAAAGCCACAAGCAAAAAAAGAGCCTAAACATCATCTTTCAAGAAATTATCAATTAAACACCAAATTAGAAATGCTAAAAATTAAAGGTGAGATTAATAAAATTGAATGTAATAAAGCCATTGAATTACTGAATAAAACTAGAAGTTGGTTTTATGAAAAAAAAATAATAAAATAGATTAACCGTTGGTTAATATGATCAAAGAAAGGGAAGAAAATCAAATTACTAGTTTCAAAAATGAAAAGGGTGAATATATCACTAATGAAGATTAAAATCAAAGCAATTATTAGGAGTTATTTTGCCCAGTTATATACCAATAAATTTTAACAATTTAAGTGAAATGGAAGAATATTTGCAAAAATATAAATGCCTAGACCAGAGGTTCCCAAACATATTTGGCCTACCCCTCCCTTTGCAAAAAAAAAAATTGCTCAGCACCCCCCTGGAAATTTACTTTCTTTACCTAACAGTTTTTTTGAAATTTGCATCATTTCTAAAATGTGTAAAATATTTTAATGATTCATCTTAAATTTAATAATTTATTATAAATGTGTGACATTTTTCCAGCATTGAAATTTTGCTGATGCAGTATTGCATCATGTAACCATATAGTCACTACAACTTTAACTCTGTTACACAACAGATGAAGCATGTATGAATGTTTTTTCAAAATTTTCTTTTATCTTCTTCTTTACTTATGCTTCCACTATCCCCTTGTTTTCATTCAATGCCCCCCAATTGCACCTGAGGCTACTACCACCACCACCCCACCCTAACTCCTCACCCCCAGTTGTTCCAGCACCCCCCAGGGGGTGGTCTCACTCACTTTGGGACTAATAGAAGAGGAAATAGAATGTCTAAAAAAACCTATTTTAAAAAAGAAATTGAACAGACCCTAAATAAGTGTACTAAGAAAAAAGCATCAGAACCAGAAAAATTTACAAGTGAATTCTACCAAACATTTAAAGATCAACTAATTCCAATATTAAATAAATTGTTTGGAATCATAGACAAAGGAAAAGTTCTTCCAAACTCTTTTTATGAAACAAATATGGTGCTGACAGCTAAACCAGAAAGAGGAAAAAACAGAGAAACAAAATTATAGACCAGTTTCATTAATGAATATGGATGCAAACATTCTAAATAAAATACTAACCAAGAGATTACAATAATATATCACAAAGATTATACATTACGTCCAAGTGGGATTTATATCAGGAGTGCAGGGTTGGTTTAGCATAAGGAAAACTATTAACATAGTTCATTACATCAATGACAAAAGTAACAAAAATCATGATTATATCAATAGATGCAAAAAAGGCTTTTAACAAAATACAATGTTCATTCCTATTTTTAAAAAAAAAACATACTTCAAAGCATAGGTGTAAATGGATTTTTCCTAAAAATGAGAAGCATCTACCTAAAGCCATCAGCGAGTATTATTTATAATTATTGGTAAAATTGGTAAAAGAAGCACAAAAATATTAAAGAAAATAACACCTTAAAAAACAGAATTGGCCAAATGGTAAAAGAGGCACAAAAATTCACTGAAGAAAAGAACTTAAAAAGCAGAATTAGCTAAATGAAAAAAAAAATAGTTACAAAATCTTGCCAAGAAAAAATTCCTTTAAAATTAATTATATATTATTATTTAATGTATATTAATATATTAATAATATATTAATATAAATTAATTATATATTATTATTTAATGTATATTAATATATTAATAATATATTAATATAATATATTACTAAATTAATATGTTGATATATAAGTTATAATAGGGATAAGTTAGAAGCCTTCCCAGTAAGACCGGGAATAAAACAAGGATGCCCATCATCATCAATATTATTTAATATTGTATTAGAAATGCTAGCAATAGCAAGAAGAGAAGAAAAAGAAATTGAAGGAATCAGAATAGGCAATAAGGTAATAAAACTATCTTTTTGCAGATGATAGGATGATATACTTGAAAATCCTAGAGATTCAACTAAATAATTTTAGCAAAGTAACAGGATATGAAAGAAACCTACATCATCATTTCTGTATATCACTAACA